CGCTGCCCACCAAAATGCCAGGGCCCGACGAGCCCTGCGGAGCTTCCGGGAGGGTCCCCGGCCTGCCAGGCCAGGCCCCCCGGCCGCTGATCCGGACCACTGCGCGGCGGGCCCCGCGCAGAGGCCTGTCCAGCCCGGACCCAGCTGAGGACGGGGTGCTGCTGCCGCCACGGGACCCCTCGGACAGTGTCAGTTGGGTGGGCAGGGGGAAAGGGCGGGGCAGGGTCGCCCATGGGGGTCCCGCCTGGCGCACATTCCACCGCAGCTTCTGGCGGTGACCCCCGCCAAGTAAATCTCCCTGGGCCCCAAGCCCAGCCCACAACTCCCTCCTGCAGGACAGGCCCCTCCTGGGATCCCAGTCAGGCAGTAGGTAGCTGGTGCTCAGGGCTTCCTTCTGCTGCAGGCGGCTGCATTTGCTAGATGGGAAAGTCAAACCTGGTATCACCTGAGATGCCAGGTACCGCACCCCAGACTCCAGAGCGCTCATGCTGGGTTGGACCACCTTCTGCCTCTTAACATCCGTACCATGTGCTGGGAGGGCAGAAAGAGGGACTTCCAGAAAGATGCAATGGTTGTAGCTGTAACTCCTATCTGTGCCTCCCTGGGATTTTGCCTCTTCAGTCTTGAACGAGGTCTTCTGACCACCCGGGAGGTCCAGCAAGCCACCCCGCGAGTGCTGAAAGTGGCGACAGGAGGGTTTGTCCTCAGGAACACACACACCCCAGAACAGCCTCCCCAAGTTGCCCTCCAGCTGGTCCCGACTGCTGGGAACCCCGGGGTGCCAAGGGAGGACGGAGCGCCAGCTGCTTTTTCCAGAAGCCGAATGCCAGGCCTTCCCTCCCAGGGGCTTACAGGTGGATGCCAGCTTCCTTCCTTTGGGTACCATTACGTGCATGAGCCAGAAACTCCTCCCAGCTGGGCCACCTGGTAAAAATCTCGGTGGCGTATGTTTCAAAGGTGGGCAGCTGTTGGCCCCTCAGCCGTCAGACTCTGGTGGCTTGGGTGTGGCTGTGGTACCGGTATGTCAGTCACCAGCAGGGTCACCCACCATGCACAGGGGCACTGGAGCTTACAGGCTAATGCGGCTGGGAAGAAACACCTGGTGATCAAGTTCTGAAAAACAAAAAACAGCTGACCAGTGAGTCCATCCAGGTAGCAGCTGAATAATATCAGAGTGCCTGAGGGTGGCAGGGACCCAGCAGTGTCTGGTCTCTTGTCTCTGGGACACTAGGAGCTGGAAGTCGATGCACCTAACCACAGGACCACCAGCCACTGCACAGAGGTTCCAGGCCCAGGTCTGAGGGATCCCCAGGCTCCGGCACACGTCTGTGATCAGAGGCTTGTCTCCTCCCACAAAGAGGGACAGTCTCTGAAACCCACCGGTCAGTTCTCAGGGGAGAACTATTGGGTTGGGAGGCGTCAGCATCCACCCGACAGCAGTGAGTTTGGAGGTTTGGTTCTGTAGAGGTGGTCTGACAGGGCCCACACAGCCAGCAGGTGGGCACGGCCCCCACGCTACTAAGAGCCCTGCCTCCCCTCCACCAGGGCTCATGGGCATTTGTGGGTGCCAGCCGCTGTGGGGATGGTGGTAAGTGAACTGTGATGGAATGTTTGTGCTGGGGGAACCCTTCCAAATGTTGACATGGGGTGGTACGGGGATGGGGTGGGGCATAGGTTAGTGGTCACCCAGCAATGATTTCCAAATCTGAGCTCTGCATTGAAATCTAAGGACCCCACCCCCACCTCCCTGCCCCAGCCAAGCCGCATCGCCGCTGCCCAGATGCCACTAATGCAGGAGGCCATGCTCTAGGTCGGCTGTCTGATCACTGTCCTTTTCTCTCCCTGCAGGACGTGACGGGGCAGGGGACGCTGGGACCCACCTCCCCACCTGCGAGGATGTTCCTCATGAACAGGCCACCTGTGGCCGCTCTGCAGTCGAAATGGGAGGCCTTCGGGCCCTCGGGGGGTTTTAGGTTTCCCGGGTGCTTCTCGGAGCCCACGGAGGGCGCGGCAAGGACGGCGGTCAGCACCAAGGTGCAGCTGGTCATCGGCAGGCTGCGGAGCGACGCATCCGCCCTGGGCATGAGCCATGAGCATGTCTCGAGCAGAGGCCACCGCGGGGACCCAGGCCGGGGCACCAGGCCCGCTGCCAACCCCGCCACACCCAGGGGGCAGCCTGTGTTCTCCACCTGCATGCTGGCTGCTGGCCTCAATCCCCCGGTGGAGGCAGCGGGGGCCGCCTCAGACCCCCTGGCGCTGGATTCGGACAGCGACGATTCCGTGGACCGGGGCATCGAGGAAGCAATCCAGGAGTACCGGAAGGCCAGGAGCGGCAGCCGCCAGCCCATGCCAGGCGGCACCCTACCTCCCAGGGCTCCAGAGGGGGGCAGCCGATGCAAGCCGGAACCGTCCCCCAACAGTGCCACCACTCCTCTGTGCCCCGCCAAGCCCAGAGGGGGCACCGTGGCAGCCGGTGGTGGTCCTCGAGGTGGCGGCACCCGGGGCCCCGCCTCGCCGGGGAGCGTGAGCAGTGAGGACTCCTTTGAGCAGAGCATCCAGACGGAAATCGAGCAGTTTCTGAGCGAGAAGAAACAGCTCAGCACCCAAAAGGCCGATGTGCCTGCCGACAGGAAGCCCGAGCCCAGCGGCCCCGCAGCCCGGCTGGCCTCTCCGTCCAGCACAGAGCCGGCCACCAGGGTGCTGCACCCGGATGACCCCGGAGCCGGCAAGGAGTTCCTCTTCCGGAAGCAGAAGGCTTCAGGACAGCCCCGAGGCCCCCCCAGCAGCACTAGAGCAGCAGCCCCCCGGCCAGCAGCCCCAGGACGGCCTCCGGAAACAGCTCAGCACAAAGTGGGCGCCCGGCGGGGCACAGGCGCTGGGCGGAGGGGCAGGCGGGCCAAGAGCACGGCCCTGCTGCCCAGGGCCTCGGACTCCAGCAGCAGTGACGACGGCATCGAGACAGCCATCCAGCTCTACCAGCTGGAGAAGACACACAGGGAGGTGGGCAGCGGGGACGTGCCACACAGGGCCCCGCCCAGAGAAGGGAAGGGGCCCGGACCGGTGGCCAGCAGCACCACCTGGAACGCCTCGCCTGAGCCCCTCCGGAGGAAGAAGAAGCTGTCCACCACCAAGACCACTGAGCTCGGACCAGCTGCCCCAGAATCCAGCCGGCCCACCCGGCCCTCAAAGGAAAGCACAGGTGGACCCCCGCCGGGAGGCACGGCTACCAGGTGCGAGCTTCCGGAGCGGACCATGGGCCGGGCCGACACGTCCACAGAGCTCCTGTGCGCCGAAGCCATCCTGGACATCTCCGCGACAGTTCTGCCGGCACCCGACGGGGCCAGCAACCGGGCCCTGCCCTCCAGCAGACCCTTCCACGTCCCCCACGCGCCCGCCCACTCGGACGGCGACAGCGGCTCGGTGGACAGTGATGACAGCATCGAGCAGGAGATCCAGACCTTCCTGGCACTGAAGGCCCAGTCGGGCAGCCTGCTGGCCCGGGCAGAGGGTCCCCCGCCACATGCCTGGAGCCCTGGGCCCAATGGCCAGGCTGGGAGCCCCAGAGCCCTGCCTACTACAGCACCAGTTACCTCAATGAACTGCAAAAGGAAATGTCGAGGGGGCGGCCGCACCCCAAAGTCCTCAGTGCCAAGGAAGAGTCAAGAGAGTATCCAGGATGCTGACCACAGCCAGGTGTGCGTGCCCGGCCAGGGGAGGGCTGGTGAGGCCCTGGCCAGGGAGGAGACTGAGGCCAGCAGCCCACCCCTCCTGTCCAAGGTGGCCGGGTGTGCCAATGGGCTGATAGCCCCGGATGGGAAAAACGGGCTGCCACCCGGCCCCGGCAAGGTGGACGAGGCCAGGGGTGCAGCTCCGAAGAGGGGCTCGGGCGACGACAAGAGCAGCTCTCTGGACAGCGACGAGGACCTGGACACGGCCATCAAGGACCTGCTGAGGTCCAAGCGGAAGCTCAAGAGGAGGAACAGGGAGCCCCGCGGCCCCACAAGCAGAAAGAGGGTCCGCTTCAGCACTGCGGAGACACAGAGTCTGGAGATGCTGGGCAACGGCCGGCGAGACTGGAGGGACCCGAGCCCCGGTGCGCTGAGGAGCTGCCTCGCCAAATCCAAGAGGGGTGGTGGAGAGGGCACGGTGGCGGCGGCTAGGAGGGCTGGGGCCAGCGGTGGGGACACGCCGAGGAAAAGGGCCCCAGGAGTCGGGCTGTGTTGTGATGGCACAGAAGCCCCCCATCGTGCGGCGGCCACCCCCCTGCCGGACGACAGCAGCTCTGTGGACAGCGATGACAGCATCGAGCAGGAGATTCGAAAGTTTCTGGCCGAGAAGGCCAAGGAGTCCGTGGGCTGCGCCGACAGCCAAGGCAGTCCCCTCCCTCTGCAGGCAGGAGGTCTTCCGGGAGCAGGGACACTGGGCAGAAGGGAGCCGGCGCCCAGCCTGTGCACCTGGAGCCAGAGACCCCAGGCAGCCTCCCAGCTGACTGAGGGGCCTAAGAGCACCGAGCGGGCCACCGGGGTGCCCAATGCGGCCAGGGTCTTCGGCCAGGGTGCCCCAGGCCTCGCTGCTACCCTGGACCCAAGTGAGCAAGTGCTGCCCAAGGCCTCCCCAGGGGCTTTCTCTGCCAAAGGGGCTCCTGCAACCAGAAGGCATACCCACAGCAGCAAAGAGTTGAGTACGAGAGGGGCTGAGCCCACCACCGCCACCGCCGCAGAAGGCGCCCTGGGGCAGCTGCCCGCCAGTGCCAAGGCCGGCATGGAAGCCCAGAGTGCCAGCACCTTCTCTGGTAGCCTCCTGAGCCCCTGGCCCGAGAGGGAGGGCCAGGGCGGGCTCCGGAGCACATGGGCGCTGGCCCCAGATGTGACATGGAAGGGCGTCCTGGGGACCGAGCGGGAGGGCAGCACGGGGGGCCTGGCCAAGTGCCCAACTGCCCTGCCCTTCTCAGGGTTCGCCCCCCTGCTGTCCACGCAGCTGTTCCATTTTGGCAAAAGCGTCTCCTGGGGGGGCATGCAGGCCAACCTCTTCAGCTCCCCGCTGGGCCTGCCACTGCAGGGACCCTCCTTCTCGGCCTTCCGCCAGGCCCCGCTAGCCCCCAGCCCCGGGTTCGGGAGCTCCCACCTGCTGACCAAGAAGGAGGCCTGTCAGTGGCCAAACCGGAAGTCCCCAGCGGGCCTGGGGCTGCCTGACCGGAGGACCTCGGGGTCAGAAGAGAACACCGTCGACCTGAGATACAGGCGCAGGGCCATCGAGGGGGATGATGAGGACCAGGAGGCCCCGGGCAGCGATGCCAGCGAGTTCAGCGACGCCTCCCTGGAGGATGGTGGCAGCGGGGTGCCCGGCCGTGCCCTCCAGCTGTGAGCGCAGGCCGGGACCCCACAGCAGCAAGCAGCGTCTCCAGTGGCCGAGCCTGGACAGCAGCGGGCATGGGCGGTGGGTCCACATCCCTGTGGCTCCGGGGGGAGATCACGGGCTGAGCTGTTGTCTAATAGGTGTGTGCTGGCAGGTAGGGGGTTTATAGCTTTTTGTAAGTTATTCAAAGTGCCGTGCAAAAAATATTTTGGCGAGAAACAGTCATCCAGCTTTGCAAGGTGCCCCCTACACACACACACTGAAACCACACGTCTCAAGAAACAGTCGTCCAGCTTTGCAAAGTGCCCCCTACACACACACACACACTGAAATCACACGTCTCAGACCAGCCACACACACACACACACACACACTGAAATCACACATGTCTCAGACCAGCCACACACATACCCCAGCCCCGACATCACACATCTCTCAGACCAGCACACACAAGCGCTCCCGGCCCTGTCAGGTTTAGAGCCAGAGACTAGCTGGAAAAGCAGCCCTGGCCCGTGGCTCCAGCCTGTTGGGCTGCTACAGGGACCCTCACAGGACAGCACTTCTGAGAGGGCCCCTGTCCCCAGAGGCAGTAGTCATGCGCCCCAGGTGGGAACTGTGTCTCAAAGCACAAAGGCTGTGGTTCTGTGTTGAGCCCTAAGCAGCTTTCCACCATCACAGTGTCAGTCGGCGTCGGCTGTTGATGCTCTCAGGGGCCAGCCTGTGAGTGTCACGATCCCGCCTCCTGATCTGTGCTCACAGGGGTGCTCTGAGCAGTTGCTTGACGACTTCTGACCCCAAGCAACTGGGCCCTGGCAGTGCTGCAAGCCCAGCCCTGCTGACGAGCCCCCAGGTGCTCCTGCCCACCAGGACCTGGAGTCAGTGGTGTTCCCACAGCAACTCTGGCACCTGAGGCACTGGGGCTCGGCTTCCTGGGCAGCGCCCCGTTTGTTGAAGGCCAAGACCCCTGGCTCACTCATGGGGCAGGGGCAGGGTGAGGAAGTCAGACAGCTCCTGCTTGCTTCTCACCGGAGGCCCCAGCACAGCCCTGGGCTGTGCTGAAGAAAGAGGCCATGGCACTGGGGTGGTGGGGGAGTGTGGTGACCACAGTAATGTGCTTGCCCCCCAAACTCCCTCTGCTCTCTGGGGCTATAGCCCTGCCTGGCCCGCAGCCTCCGTTGCCGTTGCCGTCTGGTGCCGGCCTGCTGGGTGTCTGGGGTGGTCCTTGTCACACGCACCTTCACTCAAGTGCTTCCAGGACAACCGGTCCGTGCAGCCGCGCTGCCGGCTCCAAGGTTTTTACGGGGCACCTTGGAGACTCCCCCACAAACCAGCCTGCTTTTCGTACGTCGGGTCTGTTCTTTTGATACCAATAAACCAAGCACCGGGCCGCCTCAGATGGTGGCCTTTGTTCTCTGGAACTCACCCCCCAGCCACTTCCCTGTCGCTCCCCAGGCCTGAGACCCTCACAGCTTGATTCCCTGCCCACACCTCCGCACTACCGCCCCATGTCCATGGGGGCCACTGCACAGCTGACCGTCGGTGTGAAGTCCCCACAGGGTGGTCTCCCTGCTGCTTCAGGTGGGCGTCCTAGGTACCGCATGCCACCATAGGGACAGTGGCTCACGTCCTTCCTGGAGTGGCCCGCGACCTCAGTGACGGGCCCCTTCCTGCACCCCAGCCCAGCCCAGCCTCGTGCTGCCTTTGGGGGTCCCAGCCTGGGAGCAGCAGGCTAGTGTCTGGGATGCCCTCCCAGCTCGGCGATGGCTTAGGAGCTTTGAGACCCAGATGGGAGGGTGTCGCTCTCGGCTGGTCCTTGCTTTCACAGGCGGTGGGTACATCCTGCCGTGGCCCTCTGGAGGGAACAGTCTCAGCGCAGAGCAGGTGGGGTCCTTGTCCCTTGTTCCTTCTGGTGCCCAGCCCCAAGCCCCAAGCCCTGCCCAGCAGGAACTACAAAGAGCCACAGGAAGGGCGTGTGACCATGGCGTGCCCCTGCTGGGCAGAACGGGCTAGCCGACTTCCCCGGCTGCTTGGTGAGCAAGGTGTTGTGGCCAGCTCAAAAGTCAGAAACCTCTTGGGGGGGTGGGGGGGTGTAGCCTACCACCTGGGGCTGGTGCGCATCCCAGCCACGCAGGGCCTGATGAGAGATGTGCCCAGTGTGGCATCCTGGGGTCACGGTGTCTGCAGAAGGACCCCTCTCCTAGGAGAACAGGTGTCTTTGAGGATCCCCAGGTAACGGCCTCATGCAGCCCGAGCCAGGACGCATTTGAATTAGGGTCGTGTGTGCATGTATTGACAGTCAGTACCACAAACTGACAGAAGGAGGTAGGGCCAGAGGCTGCCCGGCAGGTGGATTGCCGAGGGCCATGGTAGCACATGGACAGGTGATCAGGAGGGACCGTGAGGAAGAGGAAGCCCCTGATGGGACAGGTAGACACGGTGCTTACACACACTGAGGAAGGGGCGGGACAGGGCGGTGTTGGCTCTGGGATACGCGGGGCCAACCTGAGGGTGCCTAATGAAGGCAACTTCAAATTGGCGGGGGTCCCAGTGGTTGGTGTTCAGGGTCTCACCCAGTCTTAATAGGGGGAGGGGGAGGTCAGGCCTGCGTTGATTTCATCAGCAGCCCCAACTGTGAACGGCTAGCTGTCAGCGTTTCTCGGTGCGCTGGCGCTAGGGGCTCAGGCTCTAAGAACGTAAGCAGGACAGGAGTATGATTCACATCTTATAAAGGGAAACCCAGCTCCTCTGAGCCCTCCAGGGTAACTCCAGGCTCCGCAAGGTCAGCAGTTCGAAACCACGAGCGGCTCCGTGTGAGAAAGACGAGGCTTTCTAGTCCGGTAACGAGCTGCAGTCTGAGAAACCCACAGGAGCAACTCTGCCCTGTGCTATGGGGTCGCTGTGCACCGGAGTCAGCTCGATGGCAGTGAGTCCCACCCCCGCCCCCATGCACCACACACAGGTGCATCCTCCCATGTGGCTTTCTGCAGGGTCAGGACATAACCCATTGTGGGTTCTTGCCTGGCTTCCAGCATTGTGTGCTGGCCACAGATTCCCCCACCACCTCAACGTTAATATGTTTTACTATGTATCAAAAACCCATAATTCTCAACAACAACAAAAAATAACATTTAAAAAGCCCTTCTGCAAGCGAGTCTGCTCTGACAGGGTGGACCTGCCCCCTGGGGGGGTTGTAAGGCTATAGATCTTTCCAGGAACAGAAAGCTTCGTCTTTCTCCGGAGGAGCAGCGGGTGGTTTTGAACTCCTGGCCTTGCGGTCAGCAGTCTAGTGCGGCTGCGGCACCATGAGCTACTGGGATCACAAGTTAACGGGGCCCTGGAGAGGACGCCTGGCCGACCAGTGACCGTTCCAGAGGGAGGAGTTGCTGATCATGAAGCCAGTGGAAACATCAGTGTTCACATTTCGACTTCGGAGCGGAGTCCAAGGGCCCGATCAGACACAGGGCCTGCTGATAGCCCGAAGGGGTGGCCGGCTAGATGTGCTGCGCCATCTCGGCATTGAATGCATTTCTGAAGGCTGGTTTTGTCACAGGTTTAAGACGCCCTTCCTGGGACTGGTCAGGCTGGAGGTGATGTCCAAGGCACCTCAGTGCCCCCGCTTTTGCCGGCACCCTCATCACCTGCTGGTGCAAGCCAGACACATTCCGCCTGCCTGGAGCTGCACCGGTGGGCCCAGACACACCCCACCCCCCCCACCCCCCACCCCGCCAAGGCTTCGGTTTGGAATTGGTTCCAAAGGCAGCATTTTTGGCATTTCTTGCCCGTGGCGGTGCTGTGTGATTCATACAAACAAGGGGAGCGGTTGAGCCCCTCTGTGGGGTCGGACTCTGAGGCCTCGCATCACCATGACACCCCCACGGCAGGGGGGCGACCGGAGCTAAGACCTGCCTCACGCCGCCTTGAGCAGGAGAGGGCCCCCGAACCAGACCCAGAAACCAAGCCAAATGCCGTGAGCCCCTCCTGACTCACAGCCCCATGTCGTAGGACAGCAGAGGGCTGTCCCTTAGGGGGGCCTAGGAGGCTGCGGATCTTTCCGGACATAGGTGGACTCACCCTTGTCCCTCGGAGCAGCTGAAGGGCATGGGCCACTGACTTTCCCATGCTCAGCCCAACACCATGTGCCACCAGGGCTGGAGCCCAAGCCGTTTGAAAACCACCAGACAGAAGTGGAGAACTCCCTCAGGTCCCGGGCGGGAAGCAAGAGAAACCGAGTGTGTTAGTCTGGGTGGACTAGAGAAACAAATTCATAGACACTCATGTGTGTATAAGAAAGAGCTTTATATACAACAGCAATCATATATTGAGAAAGCATCCCAGCCCACTCCAGATCAAGTCCTTAAGTCCGACATGAGCCCAGATGTCCATACCTCTCTATAAAGTCCTCTTCAGACTCACGAAACACATGCAACGACGTTGAACGCAGGAAGATCACAGGCCAGTGGGTGGAAAGCCTCGTGGTTCCAGTGGTGGCGGAAGCATCTCAGCGCTGACGTGGGTCTCCACGTGGCTCCTCCAGCTCCAGGGCTCTGGTTCCATCAGGGGTCTCCACGTGGCTCCTCCAGCTCCAGGGCTCTGGCTCCATCAGGGGTCTCCACGTGGCTTGTCAGCAGGAATGTGAAGCAGAGTCAGTGTATCTGGCCTCCAGTGAGCTATCTCTGCCCTTGGCGCCTCCAAATGAGGTCATCAAGCTGTGACCTGATTGACAGGCTAGACTCCACCCCTTTGCAAGTTGACAGGAGATGTTGTCCCTGCCACACTGAGTCATCTGGGAATGGGTCCGATGTCACCACAATTTGGCTCTATCCTTCCCGTCTCCGCAGCATCTGGATGGGCGCCCACCCTGTCACTGGAGTCAACGTCAGGGGATGGGATCACCGACAGCACTTTGGAGCTCCGGGCATCAGCAGGGCCCCTTCTGCTGGCCTCTGCCTCATAGGCAGCCCCGTCGGAGCCTCGGCACCACCCAGACGGGACTTGGGATTCATCAGCTTCCCAGACATGCTCGTGGGCATCTGTCGGGCTGCCTTGGGCACACATTGCAGCAGCCCAGGGTCCCTAGGTTCGGGGAAAGGTCACTTTTGCCGCTGGCCCTGCCACTTCTCAGACTCAGGACCGCTGCTGGTGCTGTCAGGTCAGGTGGGAATGGTAACCACAAGGTTGTTGGTTCAAACCCACCAGCGGCTCTGCAGGAGAGAGGAGGAGGCCGCCACAGGCTCCCACAAAGACCTACAGCCTCAGAAACACCATGTCGGGTTGCCATGAATCAGAATCTACTCAGAGGCAAGGGGTTTCTGTCTGTCTCTCTGTTCCTTAGAGGCGCCCTGGCGGTGTAGTAGTTACGTGCGGGGCTGCAATTCCAAAGGTCAGCAGTTCAAAACCACCAGCTGCTCCTCGGGAGAAAGACGAGGCTTTCTGCACCCATCCACAGTTCCTGTCTCGGAAGCCCACAGGGTCAGGGTCACTATGAATTGGCATCAAGTCAATGGCAGGGACAATGGCTTTCTTAGTTTTGTTTAGAAACTAATGAGATATTCTTATGCCTTGGTGGTGTAGTGGATTATTACTATTATTTTAATCTTCCTATTTCCGTCGAGGTGAAAGGCAGAAGCCAAACTTCCTGGCGGTGCAGGGGGTTATGAGTTGGGCTACCAACCGCAAGGTCAGCAGTTTGCAACCACCAGGCGCTCCTGGAGCGAACGATGAGGCGTTCTACCCCCATAAAGCTATACGGTCGCGTCTCTTTGGACTTGTATCCCGAAAGACTCACTCTTGGCTGTGCTGACCTTTCCTCTGGTTCTGCTCTGAATTCTGTCCCGCACCTGAAATCTCTCTTGCGAGCGGGACAGGGACGAGGAGCGGAGGGCCCTGAAACTCTGGGCCTCCCTCGCCTGGTGACTCGGATCTGTGAAGCAGTCACACCCCTCGCCTGCCCACCCATCGATGGACCCGCAGCACAGATCCATTATTCCAGGGGCAGTTGTTCTCCAGAATCAGTGAGAGTCGCTCGCTGGCAGCAGCTTGGGGCGGACTCTGGACCAAGCTCACAGAAGAAAGCTACCAGAGAAGCCTACCAGGCCATGTCCAAGAACACAGTGTCCGGTTCCTGAACCGAGCTCAGAGCACCAGAGCCGTTCGGAGCTGCCTGTGGACGCGCTCCCGGTCGGCTGTCTGGTCACGGGCTCCCGGTTACCTTTCCTGGGCCCCATGACCTCTAGTGCCTCTTCTGTTACGGATCTTGTCTTTTCAGCGCCCTTGTTCAATTCCTCTGTTCCACACTGGAATCTGTGAGGGGCCACGCGGCCCCATGCAGATGCTGCTCCCACCCCTCTCCCCTCAGATAGGGAGCAGAAGCGGTGCCGTCTGGATATGGCCACTTTCGGCAGGAAGTCCGTACAGAAGAATGGTCTTCGCCCCTCAACTTCCAAAGGAATGTGGGTGGTAGCTAGCAAACCAGCAGGAATCTTAAACACCAGAGCTGGAGGCAGGCTTCCTCTCACACCTCCCAGGCACCAAGGAAGGCCCGGGGCAGCTGGGACACATGCCCTTTTCAACGGGAGAGACTGGAGACCAGAGAAGACCGCTGTTGGCAGAACAGGCATGCTATTCAAACCACCCCCACAATGGCTGGGCAGACGAGGAGGCATGAAGTCCGTCCACCCGGAGTGCTGGGATGTGCATACCGGAATGGAGGAGGGACTTACAGAGGGCCAGCCGAGACCCACAGAAGATGCCCCACCCCCACCCCGAGAGCCAGCCCTTTGGGGGCAGGGAAGTCTTTTAGCCAGTATAAGGTCTAGTTTGTTTTTCCGGACCTTTCAGACTAGCTGAGGGCCCTTTGGACTTCTTTCCCAAAGTATCCCCTTCAATAAACTCACTTAGGGTTCAAACCTTTAAAGAAAAAGACAGTCTCAGAAACCCACAGGGGCTATTCTGCCGTCCTAAAGTCTCTGTGAGTCAGAGCAGGCCTGATGGAAGTTAAGTCTGAGTGGTTATTTCCCCTTTTAAAGGCAGGAGGATGGTGCGTACCAGGGGTGGAGACCCCCATCGGTTTTCCGGAGCAAGAGGGCTTGTGGCCTCAGCACCGGGGGCAGCTGTGGCTGTCTTTTTACAACTTGCTTTTCTTTTTCAATTAAGTGGACTGGTTTTCGTTTCCTTCGAGACAGTTTCCGACCCACCCCGGACATGCGGATCGTGGCCCGGCTGTTGACCTTGGCCTGTTCTCCACACTAGGACGTTTGCCAGGATGCACCAGCCCTGTCCCCAGTCCAGACCAAGTGCAAACCCTCCCACACCACCACGGGCCGTCAGAACACCGCGGGTCCTGATCTGGGTGCTCCTTGCTTCCTGCAGGAAAGCCAACCCCTGAGGAGGCCGCCCCATCCTACCGGGACCTCCAGCTCTGACCAAGAACTGCCCAAAGCCCACTCTGGGCCCCACCCCAACCTTAGGGAAATACCGGTGCCCCTGCCTGCCTTTAGATTTACCTTCCTGAGTTATTCTGGTTTCCTTTGAAGAGTAGATGTTTACTGGAGATTGAGTATTTGCAAAGATCCGGTTGACAGAACATGACTGCATGATAACACAATGACTGGGAGGCGCTAGAACAGACGTGATCCTCTGGATCCTCCTAGGGCTGTGCTTCGTGATCCAGGACGCACTGGGGAGGCATCCCTCCTAGACAGCCTCACCACACGAGACATGTCTTGTCTTCCGTTGAAGGCAGCACCCACCCTTCTCCTTCCTAAGTTTTTAACTGAAACTGACAGACAACAAGCGGAGGACAGGACTGCCCCACCCCCAGCAGGGAGTGTATTCTACAGCAGGGCTCCCTCTGGCCCTGGCCACCCAGGGGCCTTTGCGTCCGCAGGGGACCCAGCTACCCGTCCTCCGGCCTGTCTGAGCCATAGCTACCCTCCGCACTGGCTGGCGGTGCTGGCCAGGTCCCATCCAGGGAGCTCGATGCCCCAGCAGCTGCTCTGCAACTCCGTGCAAGTGAAAACGGCCACCTGGGTCGCTGGCCGCTGGGCCCCGGGGGGACCCCAGCCCTGCTCCTCGCTCACGGGTTACAGCATGCAGTTAGCGTCTTTTCCACGCACAAGAGTGGGTCAGAAAGTATTGCTACTAAGGTGACAGGCCGCCCTACCTGGGCGTCATTCCCAAACAAAAACACTTAAATGCGAGCCTCGGAGCCTGGGGTGGCTGCAGACCCGCTCTCGGCCTTCTCCCCATACAGAAACACACCCCCTGCCTAAAGGCCACAGTAGCAGGGCCCCTGGGGGGTTTCCCAGACTGGAACCTTTTACGGGAGCAGGATCCCAGCCTCTCTCCCACAGAACAGCCGGTGGTTTCGAACTGCTGACCTCGCTGTTAGCAGCCCAACCCAAAAGTACCAGCACATCACCAGGGTGCCTGGGGAAAGGTTCAGGAGATGGACACGCCACCTTCCGGGCCCCAGGGGATGGGCTGAGACACAGCAGCTCCCCGAGCCGATAGGTATGGGTGTGTGGCCGTGCTCCCTGACGCCCCTGGAGCGGGCCCGAGAAATAAAAGCAGGCAGGAACCACAGCCCCATTTGCCCACTGCTCTATTGCAGAGAGGGAGATGCCGGGGTTTGGGGAGCCGAGGGCCAACTCTCGGTAGGGTTTCTCCTCCCTCAGCTGCAGATGGAGGGCTGGTTGGGGTTGTAGCTGGGGTGGAAGTCGAGATGTTCGAAAGGTGTGATGTTGTTATCCGGGCCCGTCACGATGCTTTTGTCCATGGAGACGTTGAGGGTGCTGCTCCGGGACATCCCGAAGGTTGCCAGGTACTGGGAGAACTTCCCCGAGGTGGGGTAGTAAACCTTCTGCAAGAGAACCAGGGAGGGTTGGGTGGCCAGCGGGGGCAAACACGCATGCCACTCGACCGTGGGGTTTTGGGAAGGAGAAACGCAAGTACATGCAACGACGTCCCCAGGTGGCCAATCCCCGCCACCGTCCTGCCAGGACTATAGCTGTGTCCCTAGCTGCCCTTAGGCTGCCCCTGATGCCACCCAACCCCGGGTCCAGTGGGACGTTTTCAACGCTGCCTCATCCTGCGTTGCCCTGTGGCCAAGCGTGGATCAGACCACTGTGGTCACAGGATGTGTCCACAGCTGCCTTTCAGATGTGGATCTCCGGAAAGATGTGGCTGTCTGCTGCCGCTAAGGTGACAGCCTGGGAGACCCAACGGGACAGTTAGCTAGTTCCCCCCTCCCCTAGGGGGTCGATGTGTGTGTGTGGCAGAATCGATGAAGCAGCAAGGGGTCGGGTCACAAGTCCACTATCACCTTTCCTGAAGCTGGAAGCACTTTGTTGGTGGAACTTGCTAATTCCTGAACTTCTCCCCAAGGGATTTGGGGTGCCTGCCTCCACTGATGGGATGGTGGCTCCCTCCCCTACTGGTACATACCCTGCCACTGTTACTCCCCACCCCCACTCACCGGCATCTCGTGCACAGTGGGGGCTCGGCCCCCATAGGCCTGGTTGCTGGTCCTGTACACAGACACGGGCTGCTGGGACCTGTCAGGGCAGAAACTCACTGATTGGCCGTTGGCTTGCTGCATCCAGCTCCACCCAGGACTCCAGGTCGTCCAGGGCTTGTTTGGAAATGGCCGCAGGTGAGCGCCAGGGTCAGGGCAGGGATGCCAGTGAGCATACCCACCCCCACCCCTGCCCACTTCTGCTCCCCACAGCCCTGCTCTTTCCAGTGGTGGCCAAAGCCCCAGAGGGCATGGCTGTTCATCAAGCAGAAACACAACTCCGGCCTGGCACTGGCACTGGCACGTGCCATTAGGAAACGAGGCCTCTACGTGACCAGGTGGGTGAACAGAGGGGCCCTGGTGGCTCGGGCTGCTGAGCACAAGGTGGCAGCGTGGGTCCACAGCCTTGGAAATCATGTAGGCAGAGCTGATGGAAAACGAGCCCTGGAGGCCTCCTGGAGGCACAGAGCGGGCTGCCTGCATCGAGGTCGGCAGTTCAAAACCACCAGGCATTCTGCAGGAGAAAGACGAGGCTCTGTGCTCCCATAGGGGTTGACAGTCTCGGGAATTCACGGGGCAGTGTGCTCTGTTCTGCAGGATCACTATGGGTTGGAATTAACCTGATGGCAGGGGGCTTGGGGGCCGATGGCTTCTAACAGGAAGGTCATGGGGTTGGAGTTCCCCAAGCCCTCTACACAAGAAAGAAGAGGCAGTCTGGAAATCCTACGGGCCGATCTACTCTGTACACAGGGTCTTGATGAGTTGGGCAGAGACCCACTGCAGGGGGCTGGCTTTGGGGGTTTGTGCAACTGGAGTGGGGGTGGGGGGGTCCGGTTAGCACAGGTCAGGCCGCTGATGGCAATGCTACCAGGGTATGGAGCCTGGGAGGTCCCTGCACCCAGGACAGAGTGCTAGGTGACTCGAGCAGCCACTGGTCACCCCCAGCGCCCACTGGAGCCGGCGGCCTCTCCCTACGATGTCCACCGAGGGCTGACCGGTCTGTCCTCACCTGTAGCCCCGAAACCACCCTGGGTTGTTGAACCTAGCGGGCAGGTCGTCGCTCACGTGGTAATAGTCGCAGGTTTTCTCCGGGGGCGCCTCGGCCTTCTGCTCGGGGGGTCCCGCCATCGCCTGGGGGTCTTCCTGGGACATGTTGCTTCCGACCACCGGAGCGGCCAGGAGGAAGAAATGACCAGAAACTCGCTGGATTGCACAGCCGGCCGCGCAGTCAGCGTGGCGTCCTGTTGCTAGGCGACGGCTTGGCCCTCTGAGGGGGCGGGGCCTGCTCTTAAAGGCACCGCGCCACCCTGCCGGGCTCCCGGGCCCAGAGCCGGGATAAAGGCGAGATCCGGAGACTCGGGGCTGCACGCGGGCCCACAGAGGCCCGGCCCAGGGCGGGGTCCCCCGAAAGGCAGTGGAGCCGGGAGCCTGCGTCTGGGGGCCAGACAGGCGCCTAAGGAAACGTACGACACCGAGTTCGAGCCTGGGAGCCATTGTGAGGATGGAGCAGGACCGTGCGGCGGTGTTTCCTTCTGCTGTGCACAGGACAGCGAGGGGTCCAGCCGAGTCCATGGCGCCTAACAACAAGCCTTCTCCGCGGCTGGGCACCAAGCAACGATCGACACCTGCTGTGTTCACCAGAGGAAGCTCAGCACCCTCTCTGCAGGAGAAACGTGGGTCTCAGAAACCCGCAGGGGCAGTGCTACCCTGTGCTGGGGTCGGGTCAGGATGGACTCCGTGGCGCTGGGTTTCTGGTTTTGTCCTTGGGGGCGGGGTCAAAGGGTGGAACCCTGGTGCACTGTGGGATCCGCACTGGGCTGCCAAGTGCATGGTGGTGAGTTCAACTGCAAGGGAGGCTCCCAGGGTGAGAGACGAGGCTGCCTGCTCCCATAATGGATTAAATCACATTCAGAGACTCTGACTCAAAGCGACCCTCTAGGACAGGGTCGAACTGCCCCTGTGGGTTCCCAAGATGGAAACTCTACAGGAGTAGAAAGCCTCGTCTTTCTCCCACACAGTGGCTGCTGGTTTCAAACTGCTGACCTTGCAGGTAGCAGCCCACCTTGTAACCTTCTATACCACTAGGGGTCTTCCTGTAAAGGCCTCCGAAACCCACAGGGGCGGGGGGGTGGGGGGTGCAGTTCTGCCTTGTCCACAGGGTCACGATGAATCAGAATTGACCTGATGTCAATGAATGTGGGTTCTTCTGGTGCAAGTCTGGCGGCGCCGTGGGGTAAACATTGGGGTACTGTGGTGTGACATCATTTCAGCCTGATGGTACCTCCTTGTGGGTGTGGCCTTCTCATGAGGAGGGCCCTGAGAACCTCCCCCACACACGTACTCTGCCTTCACCTTCCTGCTGAAGAGCCACGCTGAGACCACCTGATGATGCTTCCACTACCATTGGATCCGCAAGACTTTGCACCCACCAGCCTGTGTTCCCCCTGCATTCTGCATCATTGCATGTGGCTACGTGAGTCTGAAGAGGGACTTGGGGGCTAGTATGAGACGATGGACATGAGTTGGACTGGGCTGGGATGTTTTTATTGATGCAAGATTACTTCTTGATATGAAGCGCTTTCTTATACATAGATGAGTGTCGCTGGATTCGTTTCTCTAGTCAACCCAGCCTAACACAGCTGCTAACTGCAAGTTGGTCAGTTCAAACCCACCAACACCTCCAAGGGAGAAAGCTGAGGCTGTGTGCTCAGATGAAGGTTTACAGCCTCGGAAGTCCTATGCAGGGCTGCTGTACTTGGGACTTCACAGATGGCAGTCGGTCCTGGTATTCCTGGACCTGGGAACTTCACGGCCCCCAACCCTCTGTTGTCTAAATTTAAATTCGGGCAGTGGTTGACTCCAAGGAAGGGTGGCAGTGACTGGAGGACAGGTGGCCTGGGAGGAGGTGAGAGCTCCCCATGGCCCA